CGGATTTGTGTATCTGCACGGATCTAGTGTGCTTTGCACTCACGTCCTGTGTAGTTGCACGAATTTAGTGCGTATTTGCATTGGATTTGGTGTGTATTATACGCATTTAGCGTGTGTTTGCACGGATCCTCAGTATTTGCACGCATTTGGTGTCGAATTACAGGGATTTAGTGTGTGTATTTACACGGATTGAGTGTGTATTTGCACAGATTGAGTGTGTATTTGCACGCATTTACTGTGTACCTGGTGTGTAGTTAGAGGGATTTAGTGTGTGTCTTTACACGGATTTAGTGTGTGTTTGCATGGATTCGGCGTGTATTTGCACGGATTTAGTGTGTATTTGCATGGATTTGGTGTGTATTTGCACGCATTTCGTGTGTGTTAGCACGAATTTGGTGTGCATTTGCACGAATTTCGTTGTCTTTGCACGGATTTAGTGTGCACTTGCACGGATTTGGTGTGATTTGCAGCCCTTATAATAGCGTTTCTTAAGTCTCCAGAGAGCCCAGAGCTTCAGGTCACCCCAAAATCTCGATTCCGGGTAGGGAAAGGGCCCGAATGACACCCGCGGGGATTGAGCCCACGACCTTTGCCAGGAGGGGTCTGGAGCTGGACACTTACCCATTAGGCCATGGCCACATAGTCTCTCTAGGGGGTTTCGGCAAGGTCGCAGGCCCAATTCTGACGGTGTCCCCTTGGGCCCTTTCCCCATCCAGAATCGAAATTTGAAAGGACCAAAAACCGCCAAGAGCACAACCAAACCCGCCGAAAACCGCGCAAACCCACCGAAACCCTCCCCGGTGCAAGTTCCCAACATCAACAGCAGGTTGCAGAGGTTGAACCAGCAGGTTGCAGAGGTTGAACCAGCAGGTTGCAGAGGTTGAACCAGCAGGTTGCAGAGGTTGAACCAGCAGGTTGCAGAGGTCGAAGCTGCAGGTTGCAGAGGTTGAAGCAACAGGTTGCAGAGGTTGAACCAGCAGGTTGCAGAGAGGTTGAACCAGCAGGTTGCAGAGGTTGAACCAGCAGGTTGCAGAGATTGAAGCAGCAGGTTGCAGAGGTTGAAGCAGCAGGTTGCAGAGGTTGAACCACAGCAGGTTGCAGAGGTTGAACCAGCAGGTTGCAGAGGTTGAACCAGCAGGTTGCAGAGGCAGAGGTTGAACCAGCAGGTTGCAGAGGTTGAAGCAGCAGGTTGCAGAGGTTGAAGCAGTAGGTTGCACAGGTTGAACCAGCAGGTTGCACAGGTTGAACCAGCAGGTTGCAGAGGTTGAACCAGCAGGTTGCAGAGGTTGAACCTGCAGGTTGCAGAGGTTGAACCAGCAGGTTGCAGAGGTTGAAGCAGCAGGTTGCAGAGGTTGAGCCAGCAGGTTGCAGAGGTTGAACCAGCAGGTTGCAGAGGTTGAAGCAGCAGGTTGCAGAGGTTGAAGCAGCAGGTTGCAGAGGTTGAACCACAGCAGGTTGCACAGGTTGAACCAGCAGGTTGCAGAGGTTGAACCAGCAGGTTGCAGAGGCAGAGGTTGAAGCAGCAGGTTGCACAGGTTGAACCTGCAGGTTGCAGAGGTTGAACCTGCAGGTTGCAGAGGTTGAAGCAGCAGGTTGCAGAGGTTGAACCTGCAGGTTGCAGAGGTTGAAGCTGCAGGTTGCAGAGGTTGAAGCAGCAGGTTGCACAGGTTGAACCAGCAGGTTGCACAGGTTGAACCAGCAGGTTGCAGAGGTTGAACCAGCAGGTTGCAGAGGTTGAACCTGCAGGTTGCAGAGGTTGAACCTGCAAGGTTTGGTGGGCTTGCGCGGTTTTGGGCGGGTGTGGTTGTGCTCTCTTGGCGCTTTTGGTCATTTCAACATTTCGATTCTGGATGGGGAAAGGGCCCAAAATGACACCGCAAGAATTGGGCCTGCGACCTCTCCCAAAACTACTAGCAAGGTGCGCAACCTTTCGCAAAACTATCTGGCAATGGCCTAATGGGTAAGTGTCCGGCTCTAAAGCCTTCTTGGCAAAATTCGTGGGCTCAATCCCCGGGGGCGTCATTTAGGCCCTTTCCCCACCCGGAATCGAGATTTTGGGGTGGCCTGAAGCTTTGGGCTCTCCGGGGACTCTCTAGAGCGGACTGGGTGCACATCCGGCTTTCGTGGGGCAGGTTGCAGAGGTTGAACCAGCAGGTTGCAGAGGTTGAACCAGCAGGTTGCAGAGGTTGAAGCAGCAGGTTGCAGAGGTTGAAGCAGCAGGTTGCACAGGTTGAACCAGCAGGTTGCACAGGTTGAACCAGCAGGTTGCAGAGGTTGAAGCAGCAGGTTGCAGAGGTTGAAGCAGCAGGTTGCAGAGGTTGAACCACAGCAGGTTGCACAGGTTGAACCAGCAGGTTGCAGAGGTTGAACCAGCAGGTTGCAGAGGCAGAGGTTGAAGCAGCAGGTTGCACAGGTTGAACCTGCAGATTGCAGAGGTTGAACCTGCAGGTTGCAGAGGTTGAAGCAGCAGGTTGCAGAGGTTGAACCTGCAGGTTGCAGGGTTGAACCAGCAGGTTGCAGAGGTTGAACCACAGCAAGTTGCAGAGGTTTAACCAGCAGGTTGCAGCAGGTTGAACCAGCAGGTTGAACCTGCAGGTTGCAGAGGTTGAAGCAGCAGGTTGAACCAGCAGGTTGCAGAGGTTGAAGCTGCAGGTTGCAGAGGTTGAAGCAGCAGGTTGCAGAGGTTGAAGTTGCACAGGTTGAAGCAGCATGAAGCAGCAGGTTGCAGAGGTTGAACCAGCAGGTTGCACAGGTTGAACCAGCAGGTTGCACAGGTTGAACCTGCAGGTTGCAGAGGTTGAAGCAGCAGGTTGCAGAGGTTGAACCTGCAGGTTGCAGAGGTTGAAGCTGCAGGTTGCAGAGGTTGAAGCAGCAGGTTGCAGAGGTTGAACCAGCAGGTTGCACAGGTTGAACCAGCAGGTTGCAGAGGTTGATCCACAGCAAGTTGCAGAGGTTTAACCAGCAGGTTGCAGAGGTTGAACCAGCAATTTGCAGAGGTTGAACCAGCAGGTTGAACCTGCAGGTTGCAGAGGTTGAAGCAGCAGGTTGCAGAGGTTGAACCAGCAGGTTGCACAGGTTGAACCAGCAGGTTGCACAGGTTGAACCAGCAGGTTGCAGAGGTTGAACCAGCAGGTTGCAGAGGTTGAAGCAGCAGGTTGCAGAGGTTGAACCAGCAGGTTGCAGAGGTTTGGTGGGTTTGCGCGGTTTTGGGCGGGTGTGGTTGTGCTCTCTTGGCGCTTTTGGTCATTTCAACATTTCGATTCTGGATGGGGAAAGGGCCCAAAATGACACCGCAAGAATTGGGCCTGCGACCTCTCCCAAAACTACTAGCAAGGTGCGCAACCTTGCCAAAAACTATCTGGCCATGGCCTAATGGGTAAGTGTCCGGCTCCAAAGCCTTCTTGGCAAAGGTCGTGGGCTCAATCCCCAGGGGCGTCATTTGGGCCCTTTCCCCACCCGGAATCGAGATTTTGGGGTGGCCTGAAGCTTTGGGCTCTCTGGGGACTCTCTAGAGGGGACTGGGTGCACATCCGGCTTTCGTGGGGCAGGTTGCAGAGGTTGAACCAGCAGGTTGCAGAGGTTGAACCAGCAGGTTGCAGAGGTTGAAGCAGCAGGTTGCAGAGGTTGAAGCAGCAGGTTGCAGAGGTTGAGCCAGCAGGTTGCAGAGGCTGAACCAGCAGGTTGCAGAGGTTGAAGCAGCAGGTTGCAGAGGTTGAAGCAGCAGGTTGCAGAGGTTGCAGAGGTTGAGAGGTTGAACAGCAGGTTGCAGAGGTTGAAGCAGCAGGTTGCAGAGGTTGAACCTGCAGGTTGCAGAGGTTGAACCTGCAGGTTGCAGAGGTTGAAGCTGCAGGTTGCAGAGGTTGAAGCAGCAGGTTGCAGAGGTTGAACCAGCAGGTTGCAGAGGTTGAACCACAGCAGGTTGCAGAGGTTGAACCAGCAGGTTGCAGAGGTTGAACCAGCAGGTTGCAGAGGTTGAACAGCAGGTTGCAGAGGTTGAACCAGCAGGTTGCAGAGGTTGAACCAGCAGGTTGCAGAGGCAGCAGGTTGCAGAGGTTGAAGCAGCAGGTTGCCAGCAGGTTGCAGAGGTTGAACCAGCAGGTTGCAGAGGTTGAACCAGCAATTTGCAGAGGTTGAACCAGCAGGTTGAACCTGCAGGTTGCAGAGGTTGAAGCAGCAGATTGCAGAGGTTGAACCAGCAGGTTGCAGAGGTTGAAGCTGCAGGTTGCAGAGGTTGAAACTGCAGGTTGCAGAGGTTGAAGCAGCAGGTTGCAGAGGTTGAAGTTGCACAGGTTGAAGCAGCATGAAGCAGCAGGTTGCAGAGGTTGAACCAGCAGGTTGCACAGGTTGAACCAGCAGGTTGCACAGGTTGACCCAGCAGGTTGCAGAGGTTGAACCAGCAGGTTGCACAGGTTGAAGCAGCAGGTTGCAGAGGTTGAACCAGCAGGTTGCAGAGGTTGAAGCAGCAGGTTGCAGAGGTTGAAGCAGCAGGTTGCACAGGTTGAACCAGCAGGTTGCACAGGTTGAACCAGCAGGTTGCAGAGGTTGAAGCAGCTGGTTGCAGAGGTTGAGGTTGAAGCAGCAGGTTGCCAGCAGGTTGCAGAGGTTGAACCAGCAGGTTGCAGAGGTTGAACCAGCAGGTTGCAGAGGTCCCTCTAACCACACACCAGGCACACATGGAATCTGTGCAAATACACACTCAATCCGTGTAAATACACACACTAAATCCTTGGGATTACACCAAATGCGTGCAAATACTCAGGATCCGTGCAAACACACGCTAAATGCGTATAGATACACACCAAATCCATGCAAATACACACCAAAGCCGTGCAAATACACACAGAATCCCAGCAGCAGCAGCAGTAGCAGTAGTGGTAGCAGTCGCAGCAGTAGCAGCAATCGCAGCGGCAGCAGGAGCAGGAGTAGTAGTGGTATTGTCACTAGCAGGAGTAATTAGAACATCCGCAGCATCAGCACCAATAGCATTTGGGCAAAGGGGCATGGGAAAGTGGGAATGGGTGGGTTTTGGTGGGTTTGCGCGGTTTTAGGGCGGGTTTGGTTGTGCTCTTGGCGGTTTTTGGTCATTTCAACATTTCGATTCTGGATGGGGCAAGGGCCCAAAAGGACACCGCCAGAATTGGGCCTGCGACCGTGCCCAAATCCCCTTTGGAGGCAGCCGCCCGCCCCCAAGAGTATCTGGCCATGGCCTAACGGGTGAACATCTGCCTCCAAAGCCTGCCTGGCAAAAGTCGCGGGCTCAAGGATGTGAGATAACAACACCCCCCTAATTATAAAAACATTTTCGAGTTTTTATTTAGGAAATTTAGGGCGAAGGGGGGGGGGCCCCGACCCTTTAATATTAGGGGGAAGGGATTACTCAGGCATGCGACGAGGATCTCGCGCTTCTTCGCGGGCAGGGTTTCGTCCTTCCGGGCGAAGAGCCCAGTGTTGATCTTGAGGCGGTCCAGTCGGATGATTCGGAGGTGCTGGAGGGGGGCGAGGCCGAAAGACCGGAGCCCTTTAAGCATCAGGAGTGCCACAACATCGGGCTGCCTTTGAACCTCGAGTGGGACGGCAAAACTCAGCCGATCACGGATGGCTTTGGGCTCTGCTCACCCACTAGATGGCCTCCGGAATCCAGGGGGGGCCTGCTGCCCAAACAGGCTTTGGAGTTCGCCACTGCCATGCATCAAGTGCTTCGAAACTTTGTAGCGGACGTTGTGCCTGATGTCAGGCACACGGCGATGGAGCTTGCACTAGGCCGCCTTAAGGAATCACCTTTCTCTCCAGAGATGTTAGGGATCCTTAGGAAAGAGTGGTTTAGCTGCATAGAGGCTGCTTCGGGAGGCAAGTGTACGGATCTTGATGTGGTGCCGAGTGGCCAGCCATTCCTCTTGCATGCTGTGTCTGCGACAGCGCGGCTGTTGCAGGACCCAGATTGGAAAGCCGTTTCCTGCCAGGAGGACTCCTATGTCAGCGGGGTCGCGATCAGTTATGACTGCCCCGCACCTCACTTGCCACAGATGTACGAGTACAAATACAAGTCCCGCAAGCTCGATGAATCGGATGCCGAGTGGCATCGCGAGAATTATTCGTCGGCAAACGAAACATCGGATCAGCTTGAGAAGAAGTTTGCAGAGGAAGAGGCTCTTGGGCGCATGGCGCCTTCCACTTTACCGGTTCTTGAGCAAAAGTACGGGCGGGATAGGGTTAGGATAGCTTCCTTAGGTTCCTTGATCAAACCAGACGGCTCCGCTCGGCCGTTACACGATGGCACCCACGGTGTGCACGTCAACAATGGTATTAGGCTACTTAATCAGCAATCTAATCCCGGACCCCAGGAAGTAGTTCACCTTGTGCGTAGCGCAAAACAAAGTCAGGAGGCCACCTTTTGCCTCACCGGCGATGTGACGGCGGCTCACAGGTTGTTCCTTGTCAGAGAGGCCGACTGGCCTTTGTTGTGCTGTAAGGTGCGCAACGACACGCCGGTCGTTTGGTACAACAAAGTAGGAACATTCGGTATATCATCATCCGCCTTCCTTTGGTCTAGATTGTTCGGAATCATCGGCCGCTGCACCGCACGCTTTCTTTTGACCTTGTGGTTCTATCACCTCGTCTTTGTAGATGATGTTCACGCCAACTTCGCAGGAAGGGAGAAATTTCATCATTTGCTCATGTGGCTAGCATGCTTCGAGATGTTCGGCACACCTTTCGCCTACAAGAAGTTCCGCGGTGGGCTCACTTCGGCTTTTGTGGGTTACGAACTTTCTTATCCAGACCAGAGGGTTGGAATTTCGGAATCGCGGGGCCAGTGGCTCTTGAAATGGATCGCTGAGGCCCGGTCCTCGAAGTTTGTTGTGTCGGTTCGCAAGTTTGCTGAGTTCTTAGGTAGACTGGGCTTCGTTGCTCGGCTTTTAGATTGGCTTAAGGCACACCTTGCACCGCTTTACAGCTGGAGGGCAGCGGTGAACGACAGTTCAGTCGCTCGGATGCCCGATACCGTCATCCTTACTCTTGAATATCTTGACCTCACGTTCAGGGACATGACGTTCAAGGTCGCCGCAGCAAGATCGGTCAAGAGGGCAGGCGTGGCCTTCCGCACTGACGCAAAGTGTGCGGACGGGTACGTGGTCCTTGGGGGTTGGGATTGCGCAGGCACAACTCAGGAGTCCAGGTGGTTCTCACTTCGACTTACTCCTTCAGAGGCCCCTTACCTCTTTGACTCAGAAGGTCATAGTCAGTGGGCTTCGGCATCGGCTGAACTGCTGGCCACGCTGGCCGCATTGCACATCTTCGGTCACCTTGAAGCCGGACCAACTAGGCGCTTGATGAAGGTTGAGGTTTTAGCTCAGACGGATAATAAGTCTAACGAGGGCTTGACTCGCAAGGGTTCTACAACGCGCTGGCCCTTGCTCATGGTGAACATGCAGCTCACCCATGTTCTCATGAAGGCCGGCTTGCGGTTGAACTTGGGATGGCGTCCCCGGGACGAAAATCAGGAGGCCGATGATTTAACCAACGAAATCTTCGACCGTTTCTCTGAGGAGTTGCGGGTCCCAGTGCAATACTCCGAATTGCCGCTTTCCTTTCTTCACACTCTTTACGAAGCCAGGCTTGCACAGCTGAGCACCCGTGAAGTGGATTCCATCCGCGACACGGTCGGTGGCAGGCCACGCTTCAGAGGCAAGAGAAAGAGAGAGAAGTCTCCTTGGTGACGTGCCGGCCTGCGGAAGGGGGGCACAGGCACACAGGTGCGCCTTTCCGACACGTCAAAGACCTGTTCAAGAATTAGATGCCTGCGTGAGCCTGCCGCCACCCGTTTGAAAACATCCTGCGTGCTCCTTTCGGCAGTTGCTAACTCTTTAGATATTTATCATGAAGAGGCGAGGATACATTTGATTGGAGTCACAAGAGGCGAAAGCAAGATATGCGGATTTATACCCCATATATTCTTCGGGGATACTGTCGGTGCATTTATACCTTTGCCGATATTTCCGTTTGCCCAATATATCTTCTGGGCAATAAAATTTCTGATGAGGGAACTGAGTTTTGTAAACTTCGCTCACAGCGCCCTTCCTAAACACAACGGTTACGGAGAACAGGCAGCTTGGCTTCAGCAGGTAGCTCCTCGCGCTCCAAGCTGGGCAACGCCATAGGTAGTGGCGGCAAAGACTGCTGGTGGCCGGGAGGGATCCAGCCATGGCTCCCTCTTCAGGTGGAATATCCACCTACGAATATCACATAAAAGCGAAGCTTCGGGCCATGGAGGCCCATCTCGAATGCTACAGCGGCCCGAGCCTACCTCTCGTGCCCTCTGGAGCCTCCAAAGTGAATGCCACACATGTCAGGGGCCACCTCTATGGTGGAAAAGGGGACATGCAAGCCATTCACAGTTTGGTGGGCTCCATCATCAACTTCAAGGAGAACCGCCTACGCAAGGCGGAGAGCGACTTTCAATTCATGCTGGCTAGGGGTGTGATGCCTAGCATGCTTTGGTTCCCTGAGGGCTCGTACGGCATTTTGCCTGAGCGAGCACAGAAGCTTAAAGATTGCAGCAAACCGGAAAGGGATGGCTGTGGTCGCCCCAAGGATGACGACGATCGATGCGACAACAGGTGCTCCGGGCACCTATCTGATGATTGCGAAGATGTATGCAGACCGACGATTGAGTCAGTCACTGCAGCCTTGTTACATGATGATTTTCGGCATGTCACATGTACTGCTGTCGAGCGAGATTTCAAGTCCTTGCAGCCGCTGCACATGCGTTTTGGGTTGCCGGGATTCCCCCTACAGACAGGTCGTGATTGCGATGCAGCCTCAACGCAGGTTTTTCAAAGCCTGTGCGAGGCTACTCTGGACGAGGAGTTTTACTGCTACAATGGGCAGGATAGCTTCAATGACACTTTGCATGCTGCTTGTGGTCAGAGGTTTCCCTCAGAGCATGATTTTCACTCTGCGCAGCTCCCTGGTGATGGCATAAGCTTTCAGCTTGGGCGCCTTGGGCGGCCGGGCGATGGAGATAACCAGCTCTACATCCCGGCCCCGGCGTTTCTGCAGACTTTCGACCAGGCCAGTAGTGCAGGTAGCTTGTCCGAGGATCCAAGGGATTCTAAAGAAGACCCGCGAAGGGCTAAAAACAGTGATGTTAAGAACGGCCGTCGGGTGCCCCCAAGCACAGAGGTCGAAAGAAGACCCGATGAAGGGCCAAAATTCCCAAGATCAAGAGCCTCTCAGGCCAACCCCGAAACCTCACTGTTAAGCCTCTTGAAGGCTGCCCCTGGCTTCCCTCACTCCTCGCAGTGTGCTAGCCATGGTGATCTATGTGGGAGGCTCGACGGCGGCCAGTGCTACATCACCAATGGCAAGTTCAACGGCGATGCTGATGGGCGTGCTGCTCCTGACCGTCTTGGCCAAAGGGGTGACGGAAAGGACCGTGCTATCACGCATAATCAGCTGAGCTGCAATGGTAACGTGACCAACTGCGTGCAGTGCCGTCTTTCCCCAGGTTCCCCCCTAGGGTTTAGGCTCTGCCCCCCCTTAGAGGGTTCTAGGGTTGCCTGCCTGGGCCTCCTCGGCGAGTACACGTCTTGGGATGCCGAGGCTGAACCGCCCTGCAACCCGCTTGGGATGCATCATGGAGCGCGTCATGGAGCGCCTGACCGTCTTGGCCGAAATGGTGACGGCAATGAGCTCAATGCTGTGCAGTGCCCTTCTTCTCCCGGACCCCCCCTAGGGTTTAGGCCTTCCTCTCCCTTTGCCGGTTCCGGGGTGGTCTGTCTGGGCATGCTTGGGGAATACATGTCCGGTGACGTTGCGATTGAACCGCCCCACAAACTGTGTGGTGGCGGCGGGGACCCCAACTCGGTTGACAACGGCAATGCCTTACTGCCTTCGCCTGGTTTCCCGTGGCCCTTTGGGTTTAGTCCCTCCCCTTCCCTAGGTGGTTGCGACTTGAAAGCCATGTGCAAGGGCCTGTGCACCGAGAATTTTGCCTTTGATTCGCCCCTTGACTCGAGTGCTGCCCCCAGGAAACTTCCAAGTGCAGGTCGAGACTTCTCGGAAGAGACTAGCATATCCTCACTTTGCTGTCCTGCATGTGCACGCGTCGCTGATCATACCGGTCATTCTGCAAATCACTGCCCCACAACACTTGATGTTTGGGCTGCCCTGAAGGCCCACGAAGCTACAGGTCACGAGAGCTTGAAAAGGCCCGGCACATCCTCGCTTCGAAGGCCTGTCAGTGAGCGCCGCGCCCACAGAGTACAGCCCAGCATTTGCAACGCTGCTTGTAGCACAACCTGCACCTCTTTTGGTAACACTGCCCCTCGGGGCTGTGCCATGCATTCCGATTACAACGCTCACTCCCTTGCCAGTGCCAGGTGCCGAGTAGATGGTATGCAACGCCTTGGAGCCCCCGACTGCCTTGACCTTAGTGGCGGCGCGGGGGATTCAAACTTTGCTGATTGGGATAAGGCCTCACCGCCCTCGACTCCCTCCCCGTGGCCCTTTAGGGGTAGCCCCTCCCTCCCCCTAGGACGTTGCAACTCAACTGTCTTGCGCCAGGGCCTGTGCACCGAGATCCTTGCTTTTGATTTGCCCCTCGACTCAAGTGCAGCCCTCAGGGAACTTCAGAGTGCAGGTCAAGATTTCTCGGAAGAGACTAGCACATCTTCACTTTGTTGTCCTGCTTGCGCGCACTCCGCGGATGCCTCTGCAAATCACTGCCTCGCAGTGCTGCCCTAAAGGCCCACGGAGCTGCAGGTCATGAGAGCTTGAAAAGGCCCGGCATATCCTCGCTTCACAAGCCTTTGAGTGAGCGCTGTACTCCCAGCTTGCAATACAACCAATTGCTTCCGAGCAAACTGCCGCCACATTGTGCGTGTGGCCAGAGTGCATCCCGAGTTGCCCCGGGTGTTTCCTGGCACCAATTTGGATGTCCTCCCTTCGCGGGCTGTGCTGCACTGTGTGATGGGCCAGATGCTCGCTTTGCTGGATGCGCGGGACTCCTTGGAGAGCTCGTCTCCTTTCATGGCGAAAACCGAGACATAGACCAGGTCAGCACAGTCACTTGTGAAACCCCTAGATGGAGGCTTCTGGGCTACATGTCTTCCGTTGGTTGTGCTGCCCTTAAACAACTAGGCATTTGTTTCGCTGGCATCGACCACTTGTGCGTAAGCTTCCGCTCGCTGTTGCTGACGTTTTGCCACAATTACCTAAACGCTGCCCGTGTAGGAGAAGCATCCAATCCAGGTCCTGGTACCGAGTTTGATTTGGGCAACCTGTTGGGACCGGGATTCACTGAACAGCTCCAAAATTTTATCAGGGCAGCTGTCCAGCAGGCTTTGAAGGAGGCTTTAAAGGGAATGAAGCTTGGGGGACTTTTCTCACCTTCCAGTCCCAATGTCTCAAATGCTGAGGTTGCCAATCCAACTGCCAAGCCCCCACGCAAGAAAGGCAAAGGGGCTGGAGCGACACCCGAGGCCCCAGGTGCTCCCACCCATGTGCCTGCCCCCCCTGCTGATAAGGGCAAGGCTAAAGGCAAAGGCAAGAGCAAGCAAAGTGCAGCCAACCTGCGACCCACCGGGGCTGGCAAGTCACAGGTGCCGAACCCAGCCACTTCGTCCGACAAGGCTGAGGGCTGGACTAAGGTTGCACGAAAGCCGGCGGGCCCACCCAGTAAGGATGACCCTTTTGTCTTGCGCCAACAGGACTGGTCGGATCCCCTTAGCTCTTTCCCTAACTTAGCACGTAACCTTGCCAACGTGAAAGATGGTGCGACCTTTCGTGGGGTTATACTGTGCCCGGGCAGGGATTTCCAAACTGCTCGCACCATTCTTGCTGGCACCACCAAATCACATGCGATCATGCTCATTGCTTTGGCGCGAGACTTCGAGAAGCCGGACAGCCTTGCCAAAGAACTCAAAGTGCAGAAAGTCCCGGGTCAATCGGATCTCCGATTGTGTTTCCTAGATGCTTTCGTCTTCTACTCGGCATCGGCTGGGCTCAAAGCCCCGACACCTATCGGTTTGCCTACCAAGCCACAGACTGTTACGCCAAAAAAGACTGCGGTATTATTTTGCAAGGTGCCCCAGGATTTTACCACGCCGAAGCTGTGGCAGGACTTCCTTGCAAAGCCTCAGAAGCACATTGCGCAGTGGACCGCTGCACAACACATTTTGTGCATTGACTGCTTTGGCTGGTCCGAAGAAAAGCTTAAAGGTGGCAAGCGCCAAATCTTTGGGGCCATTAGAGTTGCTCAGGCCGATGTGGCGCAGCTACTTGCGCGATCAGGTGACCTTGGTGTCTTCCTGCAACAGCCTCGTGACCAAACGGCCAAACAACACGTTGAATGGATACCTCGCTTGAGCAAGACAGAACCGCACCAGGAGTACCTCACCCGCGCCGTGCGCTCTAGAGGCGAGCTCGGCCTTGTGTGTTGTGAGGGGTCCTTAGGTTGGCGACGTGCCAATGACACCACTTCGGCGGTCAAGCGGGTGTGGATGCTGGAAAACTGTCCTAGGGAGTGGGACCTTCAGCAAGTTGCGGCGCTACTCCAGGAGCATTTTACTGATGTCACGATGTTCCGCCAGCTCCAGCGAGGCAAGTGGAAAAGTTTCGTCTTTCGTGCATCCTGCCGCCGTGGCCCAGAGTGTGACCTTGTCGCAGTCCCCATTGAGATCACTGAAAACGGGGAAAAACAGTTCTTCACTTGCTG